CTCCACATTGACATTACCTGCTCCGTATAATACCACCAAGGATACATCAGCTACACTACCCCACATTGACATCACCTGTTCTGTATAACAACTCCTTGCACACATGAGTGTGATATTCCCATTCAAAAAGAACATTTTGACATTCTTTTTTAATTCTAGTGAAAGAAGCTTGCATAAGAATTTCTTGCCATCAAGACAATTTCTACGACTTTTCATGTTGTCATCACTACAAACTGAAACAAAAATTAGATAAATTGAGAAAATTATTCTTTTCTATAATATGCAAAATGTTACAAAAATACTAATCAAAGTTATTGGCTTATTATAAGTGTATATGCCATAACTGGGTTAAAATAAACAAAGCTAAACTCTTGAAACTTTCACAACTAAAAGAAAAAAAAAGGACCTTTTACACATTCCCTCATATGGAAATCCTGCAGTAAATACTGTTGGATTTATGGCCAAAAATACGTTTAAAGTGAGGGCACCCAACTAATGAGAAAACACATTCTAATCTTTTTAAGAAAAATGGAAAGACATATATTTAATTCGGTATACTGATTGCCAGGTTGAATTTTAATTTCCCTGTTAGTACACAGCTTGTTCTGATCAAAGTTTATGTTAATTTTTATTAGAAATCGATAATGCTGGAAAAATTATTCACCCTAAATTAAAGCTGCCCTTTTGAATAGCAAATACTCAGAAGAAAAAAACATGTTTATGGAGTTTCATTAAATGTTTAACACAAGCAGCTGTGTTTCATTAAATGTTTACCACAAGCAGCTGTGTTTCATTAAATGTTTAACATAAGCAGCTGTGTTTCATTAAATGTTTAACACAAGCAGCTGTGTTTCGTTAAATGTTTAACACAAGCAGCTGTGTTTCATTAAATGTTTAACACAAGCAGCCGTGTTTCATTAAATGTTTAACACAAGCAGCTGTGTTTCATTAAATGTTTAACACAAGCAGCTGTGTTTCATTAAATGTTTAACACAAGCAACTGTGAGTGTTTTTTTGTTGTTGTTAATAGATGAACTGTTACAATATTCACAACTCAAAACAAACCTCATCCTTGAGTTTACAGCAGTACAAAGAAAGCACAGTTGTTTCACCATTTATTTAGTTCGGATGTTATCATTAGTTGGGCACCAACGTAATGAATCAAGATGACAGGAAATTTGTCCTGATTGGAGATCTAACAAACAACTGAGCCATAAGGACTTAAGACCCTAGTATATTAGCATCTATTCAGATTATCACAGTATAAAACACAGGTTGTCCAAAAAGTTGATTGCCAGTGTAACATTAATGAAAATAACAGTATTGTTTTATATGTTTCTGAGCATCTTCAGTTTTATACTAATTTTCAAGGTATTTTGAGAATAATCTATAAACATGTACAGAATTCACGTCACAAAAACCAACTTTTTAGACATCTTGTAGATATTGCAAGAGTATAATTTAAAAAAAAATGATAAAACTTTTTTTTTTACCAAGAAGTAAACCCACGAGTGTACTCAAGTAGCCTGTCCCACTTCCTAAATTCAAGAAGGACATTCCTCTATCTACTTTCAAAGCTTCCATCACTTTGGAATATATGCATGGAGCAGATATATGAAGATTTCCATGTTTCCACGCCAAGTCTCGATATGCATTTTCTTTACATCCATCCAAGTAGTAGTCTCCACGATCAACAGCACGAAAAACTCTTTCAATAAGTGGAGTTTTTAAGTATTCCTCTTCAACAAGATTATCAACTAGTTCTTCATTGTCTTCACCAGCACTAACTGCTCCACCCATAATTTCAGTATCTAAATGTTTTTGAAGAAAATAAAAAGTGAATTTAAAAATATATCATTGGAAAGGAAAAGATATCAAAAGGTACCAGCACTTTACGGGATAAGAAGAGAGGAATCAATTTTCTGAAACATAAAACTTAAAAGGTATGTGTGAAAAGACAGCTTTGAAGGACCAAATTGTCACTGTTGGTCTATAGGTTAATTTTATGCATCTGAAACTCTTCACTATATGGGGATCTTGCACATTTTTATTAACTAAAACTTATAATCATTTTGTTTTTGTTTGAATTAGTAGGTACATCTATATAACGTTTGGTATATGTTCTTGATGGACTTCAGTGTTATTTTGTACAGTTTTGAATAACAAGAACTACAGCTTAGTTAGTACCATAAGTAAATAAAAGATTGAACGTTTTGATAACAGTTTTTCAAAGTGTAGTTGATTACTACACTTATACTTTTTGATTAAAATACTAACTTCTGTGATCTTTTGAAATTATTAACTTTTACAAAAAACAACACTACAGTTTAAGTGATTCTTTAATCATTATATACACGTGTGTGTGTAATTACCTGTATTAGGCTTGGTAATGATATTTATTCAACTACTAAAATTATTAGCACATATAAGTAAATTCCTAGTCTAGGGCCAAGCAATGTAATCCAGTTTCATACAGTTTTGTTGATTTGACAAAACAAATATAAAAAGTTCCTGTTTACTATTAGCTTAATTGCATTTAATTAATGTACTTAGATTTTTACTGAAGTATGTGACTATATCCTTGTCAATTAAAATTGGAAACTCATATTTAAAAACTTGTATAAATTGCTTCACTGCAAGTGTAACAACAGTCAACAAAACACAAATTTAAAGAATGTATATAATCTAGTGGTATTGGTAATAAACTGCAACTTGTGCAAGTCTAATTGGCCGACAACTCAACTGCTTAAGTTAAAGAGTTGTAAATAAAAGTAACGAGAATGAGGCTTAGCCGTTAATCATTGAAATTAAGATTAACAAAAACATATCAAAGTTGATTGAAACCGCATTTTTAACTTACTCACTGAAATTGAAAAGGAAATGTTATAGCATACTCATAACTTTTGCTACTGTTACAGCATTATTATTAAAACCGATGCTACAGTTTATTTACCTGGTGATGAAGCACAATCCTGTTTATTTCACCTATGACACTGCCACGAAAAATATTTGCATGTACTTCGTTTTTACTTTAATTCGTAAACAGATTGTGAATGTTTACATTGAATTAATTGGATATACTGTTTGTAGTGCCACCTATCAATACTATAAACATACAGGAAAACCATTGTCGTTTTCAATTTTTAAGTTGAAAACATTAATATCACTCTTTTAATTATTAAGATTAAAATACACTTACAAGGCGTTAGTCCTGCTCACCAAATACTTCAAATCTCTATGTAAAATTTCAAAACATGTAATACAGTTGAAAAAATACATAAATTTAGTACAGTCTTCAAAATCTTCGTTATTCTCATATATATGTCTCCAATGAAATTGGAATTACCAAAGTACTTCAAACTGGTTTCTTAGGTTTGCCAGGTGTAACATTATTATTGTGATTTCACCCCATTTACTGCGTCCTTTACATTTTGCCACCCAACCAACATTCAATCATTATTAATTAAATTAAATTAAATGCAACATTTTCAAAGAAAGTAAACAAATTCGTAAGGCATAACCTTCCATTTCTATCTCCACACTATCTATGATAATATATTATGCGTGTGGTTATCACAACAGTAATATTATTATAATTTTACAAGGTAAATTCTATGTATCTGTAGTACCACCCTAGTCCAAACAACATATATATACTCATATCCAACTTGATGTCTTAAATACTCATTGAAGTTCCTCTTAATCTTCTTCACTATTATAGTTACTATCACAATTGAAAGCAAACTTTTTCATAAGTCAACCACCCTATTAAAGACGTAAATATGCTTTAACTGGAGTAATGTCCAAATTTTCCATGTCTTAAACTGAATAAATTTAATCTTATTGAATGCAGTTTTGGTTTTTAATTATGAAAACAATATATATATTTATATATTCCAAACCTCTAACAATATTTAAACCCCTGTCATCTTTCCCAAGCCCTTCTCCTATTCAAAGAAAACATGTCAAGTGATTTCAATCTATCCCCATAATATAACCATCCTAAACTTTGAATAATCTTGGAAGCTCTTCTCTGAACCATCTCCAACAATATCATTTCCTAAATAAGATAACAAGAACTGAACACAGTATTCCCAATGAAGTCTAACTAGCACCTTATATAGAGAGAACTATCACCTCCTTTGGCTTGTATCCACAATTTCCATGTATAAAACCTAAAGTCCTCTTTACCTTATTACTAACTAATGTAAGTAGTGTTCTAACGTTGTTCTTTCATCATTGGGTTCTTTTAAAGTCCAGCCCATGTAAATGATAAGAAATTAGTTAGTTTATTTCTTCCTGAATGCTTTTCAACTTGAATGCTGCAGTAACTCTTAGGCCATGTTCACAAACGACTCTAACTGAACTATATTTACATAAAAGTCAATTTACTTATACAAAGTAATTCAATATGCGTGATAGCTAACACATATCCAAATATTGCACTAAGATCGAAAACGCACTGATTAATTCACTATACTGATAGAAGCAACTCTATTTCTATCTTAACTCGTATTTATAATATGCTCTCGAATGTACTAGAAACTTTCACGCCAAATATTTTGAAACTTTCTAGGTGTTCTAAGTCTGTCTTATTAAGCTCCTCAGTCTTAACGTCATCATTATCACATGCAACTCCCTCTAGCTAAAATCTAAATAACAGTGATGTTTCCACTCCATGAGCCGTCAAAAGCGTGTTGTTGCGTCAGCGAAGTCACATGACTAGTGTCACGCCACGTTTCTAGAACTATCCTGTACCTTGGCGAATGCTATAGCATTTACTAGATATAGGGTAGTCTGGTATATAAAAGAGGGTGACAACGTGACGGGACAATAATGTGTGTGTGGACAGTGAGTAATTGATCTGCAGTCAGTGAGTATTATTGAAGTTGAGCACGTTCGTTGTTATAGCGTTTGTTTTAGCGCGATTGTTGAAATTAATTGTATCGTAAAGTTGTGTTGCTAGAGTTTCGTCAGAACGAAGTTACGGAAAGTTAATTAACAAACGGAGACGTAACAGTGTGTAAAACGCTTACAGACCGTTAGGGGTATACCGGTATAGACTTGCAGTGATGTTTCCTAAATTAGCTCCTTTAAGAATCTTTGAAGTGAAAGTTATGAGGCTCACTTATTTCACAATGAACTAAGAATCAAACAACGCTTTTCACCCATTCTTACCAGTTGTACAATTATAAATTTCACGCAAATAGGATCTTTCATAAGACCCACCCCCCATTATTATTTTACTGGATACTTCGGCAAGCTTCTATCAAGTACCACTTATTCGGAAAGTTTTAAATACAGCTCACATTTTTTCCCTCATCAATTTCTTAAAAGTCATGCGAGTAATATAAGCCTGCAAAATTTATTCTTTTATTTGCTTACTATGTCAACTGTTAAATAATGCTATATTCTGTTTTAATTTTCATTTCATTTTCAAGGGATAACAAAGGGTGATTTGGCCCATCTAGGCTATCTCCTACACTACGATAATAAAATAGATGTAATAATAGTATTGTGAAAGCAACCAAACAGAAAAAAAAGCAATTGTATTCACTGAGTGTCACGACTCTAAACATAAGTCTTTCATTATGTCTTAAACGTTTCAGATCTATGAAGTGAGTATCTATTTCAAAATTTTTACTAAGTTTTCAAATAACGTTCAAACATAAATACCTCGCTAATGGTACTTGTTATAACTTAGACATTAATCTACTTTTACAATTTCATGGTTAATTAATCGAATAAATGTATATATGCAATAACTAATACTGATTCTGATGTATATGAGAGAACTTAAAGTGTCATTGGACCTCTCATCTGAAAAATAGTCACTCAGAAGAGGCTTAGCAGACTATTATGAGACGCCATCAATGACGTTAATGATTGGATTTCACTGAGGTAATATTGCATGTCTGTTCAATTCTTGCCACAAGAAAGGACAAACTCCAAAGTTAAGCAAGTGCTGGGAATGGTCATATTTGTTACTGAAAGGATCAATTATGTGAGTTACAATCTAAGCCAAAGGTCATCCATCATGATTGTCTTTGAAAGCACTTTGGTAAGAGAATGGCCAGCTGGGTAACTCTGGAGAAGAATTTGCCAGCAGCAAATCAACTTGCTGAGGAGCCCAGGGCTCTTATGAGCACTTTCAAAGGTCATCAAGAATGAAGCCACTTATGTATTCACTCGATTACTTATCCAGGAGGAATTTCCCCAGCAGAAGGAAAGCCAGTAACAACAAGGGACATCCTATCTGTATTTCATAGACCTCAGAAGAAAAACCACCATAAAAATCTTGGAAAATGGGCACTTAGTATAGTGATTTATTTTTTATTACGATTGTTCAAGGGACTTCACAATCCAGGAAGAGGACAATGTTGTGGGGTATATTTTCAGTGTTTTAATTTGTATTTTACCTCTATAGAGAGAGTATGACATTAAGATCAAATATGTTTGTTGAAGTAGGCTTAGAGTGTTCTAGATGACGTCACAAAAACTTTGTAATTTTGCCAAGTATCTAGAAACAAAACTACATTATGAATATATGTGAAGCATTGAGTCAGTGTTTAGTTTCAGTTGATAGTACCAGTCATTGAATGAAGTATTTTGATGATAGTATAATGTCTGCAACTGCACAAT